AACTCGGTATAAATGATAGAATTCGGACAAATCTGTGCTGTCACTGTGGTATTTCCACGTTATGATTATTGAACAAAAAGTAGAAAAGTTGAAGAGAGTTGCAGGAGCAACTTCAAGAACAGGTATTTACACTGTTTGAATATGTAGGTTGTGCAGGTAGTTTGAAATTATTTTCTATAAATTTTGTCAAAGGGAAATATTAATGTTTTGTATGTTTACTTTGTAATATAAATCGATTCTGAGATGTTTAGTTGTGGAACGTCGATGTGTTTTATTCAATAATATTGATGCAAAGTAGGAGAATGCCTGTTTCGTTGTTTTTTCAATGTTTTTTTTTCTGTACGTTAGCACTAATTTATTCCTGTATAATTAATTGTGAAAAGGTCAAGAGGCATTTATGTACGAATCTTATGAATACTAATCAGGACTTTCTAGTTGTAGAAGGAAACACACATTGAGTAAAATTGTTGATTTAGTTAGATGTTCATAGAGCCTTCATTGGGTCGTACGTTCATCTAAGGGTTGTTATGTTAGCTGAAGACTGTAAGACTTCTAATAAACTAATTTTTTTTAAAGAACTCATAAGTATTATTAAGTTAGCCTATCAATTCCGGAAATAACTTAAGTTATGGAAATATCAATAAATAGTATTGAGTCTCCAAAACTGCTGCATTGATAATATAGTTATATTTATAATTTCAGGAATCATAACAATTGACAAAGATACTGGAATAGTTTTATTTTGCATATTTGTACTAGATTATTAAGTAACTGTTGAATTTAAAAAATAATGTGTTTGGTAACGCCACCTAGCGGAGTTTTCGCCGTTTAATTTTTGAGAATTCAAAGCGAACCTTACGCCATCTATGTTTTAAACGCTTCATCATTATAATGCGAGGTTCACCAACCATTATGTTGACTTGCGTCTATCAAACGATTCAAAAGCTTCGGAGACTTAATAGGCGCTTACTTTTCTTGGTTTTAATACCATTTCATGACTGAATGAGATTCACCACGATTTTTCGTTTTCGGATAATTACATTACATTATGCAATATTCCAATATATTTGATAAGTGATTTATAATTATTAGAATATATCCAGGTCGTGAACGATTGTGACAGAGCCGACAATGTTTGTGAGTGACAATTGACCTCATATTAGGGCATTAGGGGCCAAGTTAATTGAGACAATTATGATAATATGTAACAGTCACCCGGTGATCGAAATTCAACTGTATTTATTTAGTAATAACTCGTAAATAAAGTAGAAATTCGCGTACCTACACAGTACTTATGCCGATATATAGACTGATAATTTACAGAATTTTGGATTAGATGTTATGTTAATAGAAGAAATCTATTTATTTGACCTTAAAGCGGAGTCCCTGTAATAATGTTGTATATTTAAATATCATTACACCACTGACATACGGTAAAGGAAATATCTTATATAACCTAAAATTCACAATTTCTAATAATTATAAGTTTAAAATTACCAATCTGCATTGAGTAAGCGTGGTAATGAATGCTCAACCCTTCCCCATAAAGGAAGAGGCCTTTACTAAACAGTGGGCGCTTTTAGCCTGATGAAAATTGTGACTGTAAAGCGAAATTTAATTGATGCCATCTACACTCATTATTTCCATAAGAAAAATAGAAGTTATATTTAAAACGAAGGAGAACAAGGTATGACGGCTCCGTTAGTTAAAACAGCTCCTTATAATTATTTATCTTAGATTGTACATACATGTGGCTTGCTCTAGTTATTCTTGCAGGCGAAAGATATATTCTGTGAGAAATGTAACACCTACCTAACCTAAAATATCATAAAATATGGTACGAAGTTATGGACTTTTGCAAAGTAATATTGAATTATTTACATAGTTTATATAAATTAAGGGGATCAGATAATAAACCTTGTTTTGCTTCGACTTTCATTATTAATTGATGAGATTACTTTTTTAAGTGTGTAATGTTTGTACAAAAACAATTTAGATATAACAAATAGTACAAAAAGAATGATTTTATGTCATTTATTAATTCTTTAAAAATATATACTACATTATACTACAGCACAAACCATGGTCAACCATTTGTTGTCGATTTTCATATTATTTCTTACTTTAATTTCTACAAAGCTTTTTGTTACTAGCAGAAAGTGGAAATAAACACAATAATATTTAGGAATCCGCTATACGCGAACTTACCACCACCACATTAAATGTGTCGTTATTGTAAGCGCCTTTTTTTGTGAGAGGAATCATGAAATGATTTGTCCTGCCCAGGGTCGGGTGGGAGTGAGTATCAGACTCTTACTGATTAAAACCTCCCCGTTCCTTCTCCTGCTCTAAGCCGAGGGCCGCGGTGCTTCAGCCCTGTACGGCCCCGTCTGTGGTGGTCTATTGGCTCTTCAAGGTGTGCGCGGAAAGCTACGCGCCGTACGCTCGGGTCTGGTTCTGGTCGGGCGGTGAGCTACCCTTAGTCACCGTCCGTAGAACAGCGCTTACTGTGATCAAAGACCGTCTCTCGAATTGTAATCGCCTGGAATGTACTTTACGAAGTAGGTTTTTACAGTTTAAACATTGATAATTTATATATTTACAAAAATCTCACGTGGCTCGCAAACTTTACACGTTTTTAATGAAACAATTAAACAATGTTTTTCTTTGTAAATAGAACATAAAACAGCACTTTTCCACGTCAAAATTAACAAGAAACTCATTAATAAGTTTCATATCTTGTCTTTTCTATTAGTTCTATTATATATTGAGTTGATACGTAGTAACTAGGCTGTCGCTACGAAGTCACTTCGCAAACGCTACGCAGCTGCTACGCTTCTGCTGCTGTGCGTAATTTATAGATTCATGGTGATGTTCTAAAGTACTACTATAAATTTTCATTTTTCCTGTTGTAATATGTTGGAGTAGTTCGGATGTGTTCCTGTTTCAAATGGTGACGTTGTCAATGTTGAAGCCACAATTTTTGTGGTACTTCAGGGTTTTTGTAACAATGAAACTTAAAATATATAGATTGGTTATTATCAAAGGTTTAAACAGTTGACGGTTAAATTTGTAAAAAGTTTTGTAATTTGGCGAGTACTTTATTTTTAGAACCTTAGGGTATTTAATTATTTGAATCACAATAATTTTACATCGCAATTGATCAGACTGTATAAAAACTTGCTGTATTCTTATATATAAAAATGGATCGCAAAATGTGTTGGTAAGCGCATAACTCAACAACGCATGGACCAATTTTGCTAATTATTTTTTTGTTATGTTTGTTATTGCCAGGAGAAGGTTCTTATGAAAGAAAATATTGGAGAAGTAGAGGGGAAAATTGGGAAAAAGTGACCCTTTCATAGCGAGATAGTTGGACCCGTGGAAGCGGGGGCGGGCCGCTAGTTTCAAAATAAATTTCAAGCTATTAAATCATTAAAAATCCAAACTAATGTTATAAATGCAAAATCAACTCTGTCTGTCTTTTCTTCACGCTTGAACTACTGAACTTATTTATGTAAAATTTGGTACAGACATAGTTCGGAAGTCGAGAAAGGATATAGGATAGTTTTTAAACCAAAACTGCAGGAAGTCACTATTCCACGCGAACGAAGTCGCGGGCAAAAGCTAGTAAGTATATATACCTATATATTAACTAGCTTCCCGCTCCCACTTCGCACAAGTCTAACTATTTTGCTAACAACGTCCCATTTTCCCAATTTTCCCCTCTACATTTCTTGTATTTTCTTTGATAAGAACATACTCCTGACAATAACAAATACAACAAAAAAGGATTGAGAAAATTGGTCCAGACGTTGTTGAGTTACCAACGCTTTCCAACAAATTTCATTCATTTTTATTACTATAGATCATTGATGAATTATTTGTTAACTTAATAACACAGCCTGCCTTATATACGTTTAAATGAATATTGATTTCATGTGATTGAAAAAAGTAACTTGTGGAATAAAAGTTGATATTAGAAAATAAGGCTTTAGTACCTCTAACGGACCTACATGCGAGCAAGCATACCTATTTGGAATTAGGGTCTGTTTTTCTTTGCTAGAATAGTGTAGTTGATCAATGATCAAAGTAAATTCGGCTAGATAGTTAAGATATTAGATTATGTTATATCGGCTTAGTTAATTAACTAAATGTTAACAATTTTATAAAATAAAGATAAAAAAAATGTAAACATCTCGACGTGTCTCTTTGTCTAAAAGTTGTGTGTAAAAATGTTTATAACCAGGTATTTAACCTAAATCTATGTGAGCTAATAAACTAAATTTAAATAATCTTTATAAGGAGGCCCAATCCTTCCCCTTCCGCAATCCGTTTTCTTTCCCTTTATCTCCAAAACCCTAATCCCCAAAAGGTCGATAACGCACTCGTCCGTCTCCTCCGTCGTGCGGGTGTCAATAGGCTACGCTGATTGCTTACCATCAGGTAATCCGTTTGCTCGTTTGCCGCCGTATCACATAAAAAAGCGTATTTTATAAGACCTCTTTTATATAAAAAGACATAACAAGATTGTTTACCTTTAGTTCCCCACCTAAACTGATAGACCATAGAAGTGTTCGGAAGCAAAACGTATTAGAATTTCTTATATAAATACAGAATTGTAGTTGTTTCATTGGAAGGCCGAGGTGGATTGCAGAATAAAAACATACATATAAGTTAATTAAGCTCTTAAAAAAAGAGCTTATAAAACCCAAGTTAACTTATATGTATGTTTAATTTAACTTATAAGTATGTGTAATTTATGTACATAGGTAGTTAGTGAAGTAAGTAATTAACAAAAATTGAAGTGAATAAAATTCACCTCATTATAAGGTAAAGGGTTTAAGTAGAAATACGGGACCTACATCTAGATCAGTTAGCTTTTAGAGATACTGGGACTTTTCGAAGTCTAGTATGTCAGATTGTATTCAGGGTTAGTCTTCATGAAGCAATAAAAAAACATAATTTTCATTTGAAATATTTTATTCAAAACTCATTCGCACAGTTGTACAGACAGCTAGATCGTCGCTAGTCTTGGTAAAATATCATAAACAAATAATATATGATTTGAATGAAATACTTTGTTGTGATTGAATGTATTTCTTTCAAAAAATCGGTGAAATATTCAATTCACAATAATTTTATCGACCAATACTTCTATTGCTACGACTTTAAATAAATAAGAAGAAATATAACTACAACTTGCGCACAGATAAAGGTTGGTACGAATTAATGCGAGCTACGCTCTGCACCTCCTGGGTCCCGAGCGGTCGCAACAGTCTACTGATCTTTCGTACCCATCTCGATCTGCTTTATTTATAAACCTACCAGCACTTTAATATCAAAAGTTACAAAAGATCCTACAATATGCTTCTCGTGTAATCATATTGTAAATTTTTTACAAAACGATTAAAATATTGGCCACTATCACTGAACAAGTGCTAGTAAAAATCACGCGTCTTCCACGAATTAAAGAAAACAAGGACAGTCACTTTCTGTAAGACGTGAAAGAAGGAAAAGCACCGGCCAAGGATAACACGTCGACCGGCGCTTTTCTTATTATAGTAAACGGCCTTTTTACTTCTAAAATTATAATAGTCACTGGTCTCAAAACATGGCTTAAGTACTATACACCTAAAATATATAAATTATTACAAATTAAGTAAGGCATTTACAACATCAGGGATCCTTAAGATAACTTCATATTTACACGATACTAGACCGGTTTCTGTAACATCGTGTAAAAATAAAGAAATTGACTAAGCTTAAATCGGTAAAACAATTAAGTTTACATTTAAAATGGTCAAGATTTCGGCGATCTAAATGACCTTTGAAGCTTGATCTTGGTCGAAATATATTTTACTGAGAGTATATAAATTAGCTTCGCTTTGGTCAATATGAATTTTAATTTATGAGTGACATTTGATATTTTTGAACTTTTATCATAAAGGCCTAGTCGTTTACAACTTAGCACTATCGTTTGGCACTGACTTTTGTTAGAAAAGATAAATAATAAAATAAATTAGCCCTAAATTGAAGACTCAAAATTCATAAAATTTTAGTTTCAGAAATTAATATTAAAATTTATAATATTTTAATCACAGTCATGATCGGTTATTTCCTTAATAATTGAGTTGCGCGTGCCACGACGTTTATGGAAAAGTAAAAAATCAATAACATAGATTACTACATATGACACGAAATCTTAAACTACTCCATGGGGATAATTTGAGTTGAGCATTATTCTTGTGCATAGAAGAGTGGATGAAATTATTTATCACATAGGTGCTTCATCCCAGTGATGACGTGTGCGAGACAGTTGCCGATGCTGTCGAAGATCTTCACCTTCGCCGCTTCGCGGACACAGCTGCAGCTATCATTTGTCTTAACATAGGCTCTGGTGTGCACGCTTTAGGATCGCATTTCATTTGACCGTCTCCTCCACATCTGCAAACAGTCAATACAATTTATGTAGAGTGTAATTTAAAAAAATATAATAATTCTCCTGACACATGTTCTGTATGGTTGTTCTAATGCAAATTCATATGTAAACGTACTCATAGAATGTTCAAAATACTTACGTGCAGTGTAAACATGGTCCTGATGATGAGCGTACGACTTCTCCTACTTTGTACGTGTGTCCTTTTATTTGACAGCCTCTCCTTTGTGCCGCCCCCTTGTATGAGTGCGTGGGGAAATGAGGTGGCAGTGTTGTCGTTGTCGTAGTAGTAGTTGTTGTAACATTGACTGTAGTTGCCATTGATACGGGACATTCATATCGAGGACAGCAGAAACCTTGAATAGGTTCTTCATGGCATCCGTGAATAGGTGGTGGACAACTTTGTTGTAAACAAATGATATCACTTCGGAAGCAGAAGCAGAAGTCACATGGGTCATCTCTAGGTATTTGTTGAGCAGAGACGTATACTTTGCCTCCGTAACGACACGTTCCTGGTCCAAAAGCTTGATCCTCTTCGACATAGTCTGGTTCACCGTATCCGCCAGGCCCAGTTCCTGGTGGGAAGTGTTCGTCTTCGCCTGGACTTGGTAATTCATCTGTAGATTGTAAGTCGGGAATACTTGGTTTCGAAGATTCTGTTGCGGTGCTCGATGGAGGAATTTCGCTGGCCTCAATAGGCTTTTCATCTGGTTTGTCAAACTTGTCATCCACTTCATCTCCTTGGCGGATAGTTGTGGCTTTTGTTGTTGAGAATAGAATTTCTTCTTCTGGCGTGGTGGTTTCCTGGGATACAATCGGAGGAGATGGTTTTTCGGTAGTAGAGGTTTCTTTTTCAGTCGGTGCAATGTTGTCCGATTCTGAAGAGGGTAATTTTTCTGACTCTGTGGCAATTGCCGGAGTACTAGTTTCTTCAGCAATCTGAACAGTAGCCGATGTTGTAGATTCTTTATGATCAGCATCGTATTTATCTTCATCTTGAGCCACAGCTGGAGTAGTTTCTGCGACTGGTGTTGATTCTGGTGCCTTTTCAGTTACATCTTGAGGTACTCCACTGGGCTTAGTCTGGGTTTCTACATCATCAGTCAACTTAGTGGTGAACTCAGTGACTTCCGGTTCTCGGCCACCCTCTTGGTTCTCAGTCGTAAGTTTTTCTTCGGATGGTAATGCTGTAGTGATGTGATCTTGATGATCCTTAGATGTAAAGTCTTCAGTAGAGGGTGAGAATGATGAAGTTTCTTCTACTGGCTTATAGGAGTGCTCTTCGTCGGAAGGTGAAGATGTAGAAACTTCTTCTGTAGGCTTATCTGAGTGCTCTTCATCGGTATCTGATGTGGATGTGCCTTCTTCTAATGGTTTGTAAGAATGTTCGCCTTCGGAAGGCGAAGATGTAGATGCTTCGAGCTCAGGCTTATAAGAATGTTCTTCTTGAGTAGGTAATGACGTTGTAACTTCTTCAACAGGTTTCAAAGAGTGTTCTTCCTCAGAGGGTATGAATGTTGATCCTTCTTCTACAGGCTTGTACGAATGGTCTTCTTCCGCTGTCGACGATGTTGGAACACCTTCTATAGGTACATTGGAGTGATCCTCTTCAGAAGGCGATTTTGTTGAGGATTCTTCTACAGGTTTGCCGGAGTGTTCATCGTCGGCCGGTGTCGGTATTGAAATATCTTCTACAGGTTTATAAGAGTGCTCTTCATCGGAAGGTGAAACCGTTGTTGTGTCATCTACTATCTTGTGAGTGTGTTCTTCTAATTCAATTAGGTATGGTGTCGTCTCTGAATATTCGGTTTGAGGTGATGTGTGCTCTGTTATCTTAGTAACTTCGGCTGGTTCAAGCTTTTCTGTTGCCGTTGGTGATTCCTGCAATGTTGTATCAGTATCTTGCTTTCTTGTAACATAATCTTTTTCTTGTTCAGATGGTATCGTGCTTACTTCTACAGATTCTGTTATGTGTACTGGTACCTCCGTATGAACGTCTTGTACGTCTGGAACTTTTGAAATTTCTTCAAATAGTGTAGTCATTAATTCTGGTTCCTGGGACGATTCTTCTTGTGGTACGCTCGATACAGTCACTTGTTCGTTAATTGTTTCTTTTTGTTCAGTAACAAGTGATTCTGGAACTTCGCTTGTAACTTTCACACCAGGCATTTCAGTTTGCACATTTACTTCTTCTAATGGTTGTTCAGTAGGTTGTTTTTCAATTTCTGTAACCGACGGTTCCTTCTTGTCTTCATCAAGTGACTCGGTAGGCATTGCCTCTGGTACTTTTGTTTCATGTTCAATGTCATCACCAGGTTGTGCATGTGACACTTCTTTCTCGTCCAATTTTGTGCTTGTTTCTTGGTAGGGCTCTGTCACATATTCAGAAGTTTTGCTTAATCCTTCAGTTGGATGTTGAGTAGTTTCTGATTCAAATGAAGTTGTGTCTTTATGTTTGTGCTCAGATAGTTCTGGGATAGCTGTGGTTTGTTCAAAGCTAGATGTATCTTCTTCAGGGACATGAGAAATTTCTTGAGAATCCGTAACAAGAGATTTTTCTGTCGTAGGTAATTCAAACTCATTTATTGTCGGTTTTTCTTTGTCTTCTTCTAGTATGTATTCAGGATTCTTTGTAATAGGTATCTCAGGTTGCATCGTTTCATTCATTATAATCGGCTTCTCTGAACTTGGCAAACCAACGTCAGTTTCTTCTAGTTTATCAGTATCGAAAGGTAAACGATGTTCTGTTGATGCTTCAGGATATGAAGTCGTCACATCACCTTGTCCAGTGACCGATGGGTCTTCGATTTCAGTAAACCTTCTGATTGGCTCAGTAACAGGTTCAGTGACCATTTCTTCCTTTTCAGAACTTGTTAAATCAGGGCGTTGAGTTTTACTTTCGTCGTCGTGTGTGGTTTCGATTGTGGTATGATGTTCTTTATCAGAAGTGTCGAGTTCAGGTAAAGCAGACGAGGCTTCAGTTACGTGTGATTCTGGAGTTAGTTTGTCCTCATTCTTTTCATAATCTTTAGTTGCACTTTCTTCGGTCGGTTTTACAGTCACGTGTATCTCTGGTGATTCCGTGTCAAAACCTTCCTGTGGTTCGATAATAACTGGGCCGGTTTCTGGAAGCTTAGTAGATGGCAGTTCAATGTCCGGTGAATCCGTGGATATATCCTCTTCTTCACCAATGGGCTTTGATGTTGCATGTAGCTCTGGAGCTTTAGTAATTAATGATTCACTGCTTAAATCTTGTGATACTGTGCTGCTAGAGTCTTCTTGTTCTTGTTGTTTAGTAATCGTTACCGCTTCGGGCGAGCTGGTAGTTACTTCTGGTTCTAAACTAGAATCTGTAGCAGTTTCAGGCATTTGGGACGTTTCCTTACCATCAGTTACTTTACTTTCTTCAGAATCTGATACTTGATTGATAGGAGACTCAGATGATGTGCCTATATCCATGGTTTCCGCATTCAGATCTGCAGCTGTTGTTTGTGAATCAAGAACTGGTGCATTTGTTATTTTATCTATTTCAGTCACTGCAGCTACCTCAGTTGTTTGAACCGATGTTTCGGGTAATTTCTCATCCATTTTAATCTCTGTGGCAGGCGTCGTTTCTAGACCTTCAGAACCAGATCCCTCTTCTTCGTGAATTTTAGGTTTATCAGTTACATTCACGTCAGCAACATTGGGTTGATCTGTGATATCCTCATCAATAATTACAGGCTTTTCTTTGTCCGCTTCCTTATCTCCGACAGGTTTTTCTTTTTCCTCGACTAGAATAGGTTTTTCAGTATCACTTTCATCTACTGGTTTTACTTGGTTTTCTCCATCTAATTGATGGTCAGGCTTTCTTGTAGTGTACATTTCAGATACTGTAGTTTCTTCTGTAGATTTTTCGATAATGTCTGGCTTATCTTTACCTTCCTCTAAAACGGGTTTGCTCGTTTGTTTTTCAATAACCACAGGTTCTTCTGTTCTTTCGTCAATGATGACCGGTTTACCTGTACTTTCTTTCTCAGTAAAGTCAGGTAATGCAGTACTTTCACCGTCAATGAATGGTTTTATTGTATCTTCTTGAGCCCCATCGGTAGGTTTCTTATTAATATCATCGATAATTGGTGTTTCTTTATTATCTTCATCACCAACGTATGGTTTTTCTGTACTTGCATCGATTGCTGGCAGTTCTGTACCATCTCTATCAATAGGCTTCTTTTCGTCTTCTTTTTTATCCGATACAGGTTTATCTTGGTCTTCATCCACGTAAAGCGGTTTTTCTGAAGTTACGTCTGTTGTTATAGATGGACCTTCAGAACCCTTTTGTACTTCGACTGATGCTGGGGTTGATGAGCTTTCAACAGAAAGAACAGAATCAGTAGCTGTCTTTTCTGTGTTTTCGTCTCCGACTGAGGCTATTTCATTTTTGTCTTCTTCTGAAGGCATCTTATCTATTGCAGGTTGTTCTGAATGAGGTTTCATTTCTTCTTCTAATCCTGGTTTTTCTGTGGGTTCCATATCAGTTCCGTCTTTATCAATAACGGTAGATGTTTCAACGTCTTTTTCACTTTGATCAATAGGTGTCTTTGTTAATTCTTTATCTTCATCATTTGTTACACTAGCTTTCGTAGTGATTTCTTGCATCGTAACATCAGAAATCTCGGCACCCTCTGTTTCAGCGGCTGGTTTGTTTGTAGTTTTCGTATCAGTGAGTTCAGGTTCTCTGACTCTGTCATCAATATCAGGTTGATTGTCATCTTCATTGTCTGAGGGTTTAACATTTCCTTCATCATCTCCTGCATTTACTTTCTCTGTAGTTACAGAAGCCTCTGTTGTATCTTTTTCAGTATCAGTGGGCTTCTCTTTGTCATCAGTCAGAGATGGTTTTTCTGTCTCAATATTTACAACAGTTGGAACATCGGTGCTTTCCTGATCTGTAACAGTAGGCACGTCTATATCCTTTTCTTCATCAATAGCTGGTTTTTGTGTGCTTGATTCGTCAATGACTGATTTCTCTGTGTCGGTTTCGCTATCAGTGGTGGGTAATTCTGTGCCTTCTCTTTCAGTAATGTCAGGTTTCTTTTCATACTCATCAGTTACAGTAGGCCTACTAGTGCTTACGCCTTCTTCAGTTTTGTCGTATGGCTTTTCTTGGTTACCTTCACCAGTAGTAGGTAGATCATTCTTTTCGGTCGGAGTTGGTGTTTCAGTAGCCAATTCTTCTTCTGTTGTTGATTTCTTAGTGGATACATCCTCAGTGACAGACTGTTCTTTTTCAATTTCTTCACCTGTCTTTTCTGTAGTGCTTATCGTTAGAACTTCCTCAGTTGGTGATTTTTCAGGTTTAGGTGATTCAGTGCTTAAGTCAGAGAGTCCTTCAGTAACTATAGTCTCCTTTTCAGTGATACAGTTCGGACCTTCACAAGTACTTGGCAGTTTTTCACCACTACCAGAAATTTCTTTTCTTCTGCACGGTTCCTCTCCAGTACAGTCAGAACTAGGAATATCTTGAGGTTTGCATCCTTCTTCTTCATTGCACAATTCGGGTTGTTTGTCTGGCTGTGGTGGAATATTGCTTTGGTCACAACCATCAGGACCACAATCAATTTTGTTACATAACTCTCCTTCGCAAGGTGTAACAATTGAGGGCACCTCTTTGCACTCTTCTCCAGGTTTACATGATTGTTGAGATACTTGCTCATCAGTTTGTGGCAACTGACATTTTCCGTTAGCACAGTCCTCTGATACGTCAGGTTTATGTTCAATACCTTTGCAACCTTCTGCTTCACATTCAACGTCAGGCTTATGATCACCTTCATTAATGCAATTTTCAGAAGTACATGGTTCTAATGGACCAGTCGGTTGTTTTGTTGGTTCACTAAGTTCGCATTGATCACCACGGCACTCAATCGTTGGAGAAGGCATAGGAGATTCTGTTCCTGACATTTGGTTGTCTGACTGTGGTGGTACTGTTTCTCTTGGATGATCACAAACAAATGTGGGGCAGCAAGAATCAGGAGAGTCGTAAATAGATTGGCAATTGTCCATGTAGTCAGGTGGTGGACTGCAAATAATAGGATCACACTTGATAATACTGCTGGCGCATCGACAACCTGTATGACAATTGTTTGTGCTAGGCACGACAGAGTTATTTCTGTAAGTTACACCATTTAGGAGACAATCGCCTTCACCTGGTATGCGACTAGATTCTTCGTGGGTAACCATACCAACGCTGACTTCTGATGACTTCTCTGTACTAGTTGTTGGGGCACTATCGTGTTCGGGTGATTTCTCGGGTAACATTTCAGTAACTAACGATGTTTCTTTGGTTGATTCCGTTGTTGTTTGCTTAGGTTCCAATGTTTCCACTATTTCTGTTACGTATTCTGGAACCGATGTAGTAAACTCATCTTCTATTGTTGGAAGATCAGAACTTGTAACAGTCTTCTCGTCATGTGCTGATGTCGGAATAAGTCCTTCATCAACAAATTCTGGTTTAATCGTAGTTGATCCAATTTCTTTAGATTTTTCTGTTGAAGCTATTTCGTCTTCCTTTCTAAATGATGGTTCAGTTGTGACTGTGGATTGATCACCTTTAGTAACCATACTATCCAGATGACCTGTTGTAATTGGTTCTTTAGTTGCGTCTTCATTAATGTCTCCAGGAATTGTGTTCATGCCTCGATCTGGCTCAGCAGTAGTTTCGGAATCTTTTGTTATCGATTCTGTAGCAAAATGTTCCTGTGGAGTAACTACATCTTCCTTGGTGATTGTATCTGGTTCCTGTTCCATAGCTGGTTTTGAATGAGGCGTACTTTGTTCATCAGCAATGACAACGGTATTTTCACCATGGTCCGGTTCTGTGGTTAACTTATGTTCTTCCTCCAAAGGAGTACGTGTAGTTAATTCTTCGGGCTGAGAGCTTTCTTTTTCTTCTCCAGTTGGGCTGCTTGTAGTGGTAGGTGCATATTCATCAGGTTTGGGACTTTCTTTCTCTTCTTCAGCTGGGCTGCTGGTTGAGCCAGGAACATATTCATCAGGCTTAGAACTTGCCTGTTCCCCTTCAACTGGGCTGCTTGTTGAGCCAGGAACATATTCATCAGGCTTAGAACTTGCCTGTTCCCCTTCAACTGGGCTACTTGTAATGCCAGATACTACATCATCAAGCTTAGAGATTTCCTTCTCTTCTTCTGCTGGACTGCTAGTTGTGCCCGGAATATATTCATCAGGTTTAGAAATATCTTTTTCTTCTTCAGCTGGGCTGCTTGTTGAGCCAGGAACATATTTATCAGGCTTAGAACTTGCCTGTTCATCTACAGCTGGGCTACTTGTAGTTTCAGGTGTTACTTCGTCAGGTTTAGAACTTTCTTTCTTTTCTTCTACTGGGCTACTTGTAGTGCCAGATGCTACATCATCAAGTTTAGAGATTTCCTTCTCTTCTTCTCCTGGACTACTGGTTGTGACCGGAACATATTCGTCGGTTGGAGAAATTTCAGTTTCATCTTCACCTGGGCGCCTTGTAGTCTCTGGTGCATATTCGTCAGGCTTAGAACTTTCTTTCTCTTCCTCTGCTGGGCTGCTTGTTGTGCCAGGAACATATTCTTCAGGTTTAGAACTTTCTTTTTCTCCTTCAATTATGCTACTTGTTGTGCCAAAACCATATTCGTTGGGTTTAGAACTTTCTTTTTCTGCTTCAGCGGGGCTACTTGTTGTGTCAGGAACATATTCGTCGGGTTTAGAACTTTCTTTTTCTTCTTCAGCTGGGCTGCTGGTTGAGCCAGGAACATATTCATCAGGCTTAGAACTTGCCTGTTCCCCTTCAGCTGAGCTGCTTGTAGTTTCAGGTGTTACTTCGTCAGGTTTAGAACTTTCTTTCATTTCCTCATCAGAGCTACCTGTAGGTTCGGATGTTACTTCATTAGGTGGAGAACTTTCTTTTTCTTCTTGAATAGGGCCTTCACTTCCTTCTATTGAAGTTGGAGTTGTTCTTGTGATATCACTCTCAGTTTGTTCTTTTACAGAGACAGTTTCTGCGGCTGCAGATTGTGTAGTAGTTTCTTTTAGTGTTTCATCCAAAGCACTATCTATTGTAGGTTCTTTTTCAGGTGTTTTGCTATCTTTATCTACATCTGCCTCAGTATCACTAGTGACTGGTGCATTTGTTGTGCTCGGTACATGTTCATGTGGTTTGCCGATTTCTTCTTCGGGAATTACATCTGGAACAGTGTTTTGTTCTTCACCTAAATTAGTTGTACTTTCTTGTACTTCAGGTGCCTTCGTTGATTGCTTAGAAATTTCTTCCTCCGTCATTTTGCTGGTAGTTTTCTCTATTTCTTCACTAATAGGAGCACTTGTCGTTGGACCATAGCCATGAGATTCGTCGGTTTTTTCTCCTTCGTCTGGGATAATGTTCTTATTGATTTCTGGTGTTGTTTTTTCGTCTTCGGTCACGTCAGGAGCTTTTGTTGAGCTAAAAATGTATTGGTCTTCATCTCCTGGAGTTGTTATTATATCCATAGGGCCAAGAGGTTTTGAAATTTCTGGTTCAGGTTCTTCCCCACTTCCTTCTAATTCAGTTGCGGTAGGCATTTCAGTATAAGGTGCTTCATCAGGTTCATTTCTGTAGCCACTTCCTTCCACGCCAGTTCTTCTTGGAGGCGATAGAGTAGTTAGTTGTTCTATCATCGAATCTGTGGCGGGTTCAGTTGGTAGATCGGAAGTCAGTTCATCGCCTTCACATATATATGTGTCTGGACAGCATTGTCCTTCACGTGGTGGTAAAGATGTACAGTTTTTGCCTTCATTTTCCATAGGAGCTCCACATTCTTGAACGACACAAACTATGTCTCCCTTCATGCAGTAACAGTGTTGACATGCTTTCTCTGTTTTAATTAAGGCGCCATCCGAAAATATTTGATCATCATGAACACAATCCTGTGTCATCTGTGTTACTGGTGACATAGTTGTAGTTGTAAGTAAAAATCCTGGTGTCGGTCGGACAGTAGTCGTCATGTCATCCAAAAGCGGCACTTCATCCTCGTGATCTGAAATGTAAGAAAAGAAACAATTAATGTAATGCTTTAAATGTATTAATGATGATTACATTGCTCTGATTCTCATTTAAAATAAAAAATAAATAAAAATGATGACTTACCACAAGAATAGCGAATTGGACAGCAGACATCTTTATGGTAGATAGGCGTACATCCATCAACATGTAGAGTACATTCTTGCATAACGCAAGTCGTCATGTTTCGAATACAGTAGCAATGTTCGCATGGTTTATTCGGGGTCGGAGGTACTTTAGATCCTTCAGGGAAATATCTGCCGTTAATGCTGCAACCGTATTTATCCTGTTTGCCGATTCCAGTTGCTCCATATTCAGCTGGAGACGTTGTTGACGTAGATGTGAGTAGGTCAACTGGAACTGTAATGTAAATCATGATTTATTCAAAACTTTAATAAAATTAATTATTTGCAAAGTAACAAAAGTGTTTGATGCTGTGAAAACAAATTTTGCTGATTTAAATGAAATGTCGAGGTTTTCTGATAAATTCCAATGTTATATTGGAAAAAAACTGGTTTAATATTTCTAAACCATTTGTAGTTAAGATATTGCACCAAAGTAGTATTTACAGTAAATAGGCTTACCATCGGGGCACGTGACGATAGGACAACACTGATCATCTCGCTTTTCGACAGTGCAGTCTTGGCCGATGGCTTTGGTGAAAGGACAAACCCTGAGGTAGCACATCAGCATTCGGTTGTGACAGGTACAGTTCAGGCATGGTTCGTTTGTCATAATACGGTCTCCTTCGCCATAATGTTGGAAGTTGTAGAAACAACCTTCTGGAGCATCTGAAATTTTAGTAATGGAAAATTTTAAAATGTTTTCATTGCGTTTGTTAGTTTTTCGTAGCAATAAGTGCCACCATTGAAATAACGAGCAAATCATTAATTATTAATTAATTGTGTTTTTTTTAAAGTCTCAGGCTTCGTATACCTATAGTTCATTTGTTGAAGATACATTTACAAATATAAATTTTAAGTACCCATTACACTCAGACCCGGAACAAGAATTTGTGACCGAAACAAAGAATTAGACCGAGTGTTGTAGACCAGGGAATTGGACCCTAACCATCACAACAACCGGTTATCCAGCTACAGCTCATCATCGTACTACTACGAACAACAAAATTGTTGTATAAGATGGATACATTTAGTGTACAATAAGAAAACACTTACTTTCATACAAATCTAAAGCTGTCTGATTGCTTGCTGTAGGAGCTGAAAACAAAATAAAAGATTTTATGTAAATATGAAATCAATAATTGTACTTCGATATTCAAATTAAATCATTAATTAAGGTGGTTGCTTGGGCTTCTCTATGTTAATTTAATTTTTCGATTTCTCGTTATTTTCTTATCAGGTATTGCGGTAAAGTGACTCGTGTAAAATATGTTCCGCTTGCATGTTGCCGCATTATATTTTTCTTCAATCACTTTCAATGTCATGTGACACAGTGACCGGCGCAGAAATAACACGTGCTCAAAGTTTGGAGGTGGCATGAATAAGGCCTATGTGTCGTATGGGTTACTGTGTTCCAAGCAGCTTCATGCGAGACAAAGGCATTCTCTTGATATGTGTTAATGTTTTAGTTGGACACCAACCGTTGTTAAGAGAAAAATATCGATACAGACGTTCAAGTGAGCGTGTTCTGAGAATATTTTACTGCTGTTTTTACGACTGACTTATTAAGCATGTTACAGCTCTGCAGGATATTAGCTGCAAATCGCTCGAGACCCGTGATCGGTCATCGTCTTAAAGTCGTTTTACATATCCGTTTTACTGCGTATAATTACTGAAGCTGAGCGGCGACGCGACAAAGCTGTAATTAAACTAACGGAGAGAGTCGTTAACACCAAAACTGCGACTTCTCTCTTACTTAGGGTTCAAACATTACACTGAAATAGAAGTACGTGCTTGCACCTACTTTATCTCCTTAGTTTATAATTTACATGAAAACCTCTATCCTACGAAAAATGAATATATCATTAAATGATACCTAGTTAGTAAATACATACGTCTAAATTGACTTGTAGAAGTTACATATACCCAACGCTATGTACGAACGTACTTTAGAAAAAGGAAGAGTTTTTTATAACTTAAAATTTGTTTAAACATAAGTTTACAGTAAAAGTAATATTGTAGGTATAATTGATGATGTCAGTGAATGCAGTATGCGTTGTGGTTATCAGCAGAGAGTTGCACGGCGGCGCGGCACCGTTAGGGCGCGGGCCGCGGGCGCGCGGTCTCGGCGCGCCTCTATATGGCGGGTGCGCGGTGGCGCCGCAGCCAGATCGTCCACCTAACGGTCGCCAGGAATGTCGTTAGCATCCAGTTTTTGCCAACCGAGATTTCAATTATACTATTTCGACTCTCACGATTAAAATTGATCGTAAAAACAACGGAACATAGTCGTAACGAATAAAATCAAACATCCTGCTTTTTAATATTTTTAGCAATCATAAAAAGTCATTCTGTTCTTAAAAACGAAGCGATTAAAGTGGGTTACTCCCACGTACAGAGAAGGTGTCAGTGCGCGACGAAATGTACAAATTCCAAGTTGCCTGACTGAATAATAAGTACCGAATCATAGCCGAGTTTTCAAGTACGTGACGTAGCATTTCTAATTCCCATGATACCTAATGAATCGCTTTTACGTATAAGTGTGACGTTATAAATGGCTTTGCATGAACAAAAAACTACTTAATGCAAAATCGTGCGCTTAGGAACACGGGTCGAGGCAATCGAAATGAGGAGCCAGCATGAATTTAAAATTTGCACTACATTAATATGGATTGTTGTTTCAATGAATGAATGTCGGCGTGGTCGCCATGCGTGATGAAGTTCACACGGGTAGACCTAAACATTGTAGGCCGCATTTAAATATACTTCCTATGTATAACATAAATTCAATACGAATTCTTTGAAGGAACCGTGCTGCGGATACTAAATCTGCGCGGACCAAAATAGCCTCATCTAATAACATGCATCGCGAAACTGACACGCACAGACCTTTTTACTGTTACTCGCGGCCACGGGGAGATACCGTCACGACCACGCGCCTCCGTCCTGCGGGAGAGGGCCCGAGACCAACTCGCAGATAATCTAATTCATAATACCTACCTCATTACACCGATACCCATTACACCACTCGAAGAAACGGATGGAACAAGATTGGGCAGCAGTACTTAATTTAATATGCTCCCTCGAGGCTGGTATTACTGAATGTTAAGATGGAAATAGTTGCCATTCGGCGTGAATTAAAGCTTCCGCTATCGTTACCAGGAAAAAATACCCCATGTGTTATCCTAGACAAATTATTTTTTTTTGTTTGTCATATTAGTGGGATTTGTACTTTGCATAATTTTATGAAGAAAAATGAGAGTGTAAGGAAAAGACGAACTTCCGTTACATTAAAATTATTGACTGACAAATGGAATGCACAATTAAATTAAATCTTTAATGCAAGTAAAAAGTATGTTAGTCGCGGAAGTATTGTATGTATGTATATCACGAGTACAATGTTCTCACGACATAGTGGGTCGCAGACAAGGCAACGGTAGATACTAGTTTAGCAGCACCATCAAAATATAATAAATAAGAATTAGTGTAACGCCGCCACGGACATTTACATATTACTACCTGTTGGAATGTTTTCCTAGTAACATAGCTTGTCATAATAAGAAATTCACTACTCAATATCATTTCTATGTTATAAATTTGCAATTCATATGTTTACAGGCTTATAAATATCTAGGTGTACAATAAATACATACATATTAATGAATAAGAAGAAAGGAAGACTAAATAGCGTCGTCGATTGCATAATGATTGTATGTAGATGAGTTTGTCCGTCGAATTACTCTTTAAAGTTACTAATTAACTAGCTTTTTATATATAGGTACAAGCAAGTACTTAATATAGGTAGTTCTAATTAAGATTCATGGCAGATGATAATTAAAGTTAAATGTTTAGCCGTGGTGTGTTCTCTAGTAGTAAATAATTTTATTTTAATTTTAAATTGTGTTTCAATTAAGCTAATGCTTGCTTTTAAGCTTGTCGTTGTGTAATGAGTGTATGTCTCGTTCGGGAGTCGAGAGAAGCTTTGTAGTGTCGCGCTCAATGTAAGACAATGAGAGCAGCCCCACGGAAACATGAACCCTTGCTTGAAGAAGGAGGGACTCACCCGCAGCCGAGCACGCGATGCACGCGGCCAGCGCTAGCAGCGCCCCCGCCGCGCGCCGCCGATCCATCTGACCCCGTCCTCTGTAACAATCAAACAATCGAATCAATTACTGTCGCCTCGTATCATCTGCACCTACACTCTCGTCACTCGCTCACAATCACTTTGTGGGGAAAATTTCACGAAACAATTTCATTGTACATCTGCAAACGTCTCGTACAACGCCGTCTCAAAATAAATCGCGCTCCGATAATGGAGATACGCCAACTTATATTTAGGTAGAGTATGAAAAATCGTTAAAAGCGCCGAAATCGTAAAAAAGGCTTCCCATAGTAAAAGAACAAGGTAACAGCCGGAGCAAAGATGCCTAATGATGCGGAAAAAAACAATTATTTTATCTCCATAACGCGGACTACTAATAAAAACGGCGGTGAAGCAAATAATTCGGACTGCAGACACATTTAATTTGCTTTTGCTTTTTATTTTGGATAAAGATTTTCCGTTCACTGACTGATATTCTAGTCCAGAATAACTGATTTATGAGCATTGAGGATTGGACACAGCTTCGATAAGAAGGAGGCTCTGTAAAAATTATGAAAGTCAAATGACAACTTCTTGGACCAAAGTTTTCGTATGTATTTGCTCACACACGAAGCGACGCGTGCTTGAGTGGGAGTAATGGCAGGATCAAGGATCATAGTGCATGTTCCAACACGTCTACTATACCGATGTTATTCTCGCATCTACTTAGAATATTTGCCTCTAGATTTGTGTTGCTAATAAACTCAACATAAGTTAACGTTGTAGGCACATAATATCAACATTTGCCTACATTCCGCCACTATCTTATCTAAGTTAGCAATGACGATCGTATAAAACGGTAATTAAGAATTCTACTTAGTATTGTTGAACGGTACATTTTAGCCCAGAGCTAGGCCAAGGAACGCGGAAACGTGAGGTTCGCACAAAAATGTGCCCATTTAGCTGTGAGTGAATGGGAACTTTAACTGTCCATTCAGTGTGCTTGGAACGACGGCAATTCGAAACAATGTTAGCAGTGGGCAGTTTTAAAGGATTTTCAATGAAATACGACGTATGGGCTAACATATTTCTAGGAACCGCTGTGAATATTAAATAGTCAATGGCCTGACACCTGAAACAACGGTCAAGTACCACACAACTGAATGCGCTGCTTTAACTTAGCTGTTCTAGTTTTACAATTTACGCCGTATTTCAATTTAAAATTCCTAGGTTTAAAGTCACAGTGTCGGTTTCGTGACACAAATGTTTTAAGCTCACTTGATACAGAAAAACCGTTTATAAGAAACGGTATTGTAAGTATTTTTGTTTACGTCGGCTGAAAGAGTCAATACGTGTGGAGCAAATTTATTGTAACTCCAGGGTCCGTAGCGTAAGGCGAGCGTTACCGTGGGAACGCATCCGCGCCCGACTTCTGCACACATAACCACACACACACACACACACATACCTACTCATTACGTACCACACACTACACCTTACACGCATTTTTCAACAGCCTCCCTTGCCTCTCCTGCCAGTCGTTGGGGAGCTTTCTCTATTTTTCTTGTCACGAAAGTACCTTGTGTACAATACGTAGGTAGATGATTACATAAGCACCTCTCGTAAACTTCTCTTGGGTAATGGTTAGACGAAAGCTCATTGTACGATTTTTCTTTTACATTATTCCTACTTTGACCAAATTCAAAGTACCCTCTTAGCAGAAGGTGCGCAAATATCCATAGATATAATCTATATGGTTATTGTGGGGTCCCTCCGTCTAGACACTCTATGCAAGTCACCTCCGCAACTCCGCGGAGAGGGTGAGGGTGCGGAGAGTTCACCACTATCTATTTATTTGCTTTACTAAAATACCACGTGTTCCGGACGTTAAGAGCCATTCACACTGTCGTGTTGTTGCGAACATCATTTTTTGCGCCGTGTTTGTGAAACAAATTGTAAATATCAACAATCGTGCACTTTGTGCTGTACACTGCCATGTAATATGCGTGTGAGTACCGAAATAATTAACTCTAAGCTAATGTTGTGATTACGAGTATTCATGCCGGGAAGCTCCAATTCTTTCTCCGTACACAATAGGAGCCCACTTCTCAAGAATAATTTGGCGTACCGTTTTTTCCAGCGGTATGACGTCAAAAGTAACAGTTAATCTGATTAAAATAAACCTGAATTTGAAACGCAGTCAGTTGGAAAGCCACAAAATATGTGGCGCACTTAATTGTTATTGTGTACTCACAACCGCGGAGCTTGAGACGAATGGTGACGCCGGCACTGATCAAATGCACTCATCTACACGAACGCTTCAAGAGCTACGAGCTGCTACGCAATCTGTAGCACGTTTTGACATTGCAAACGTTTCAATGATTCAATAATGAACTTAACCTACACTTTAGGGGTCAATGCTAATGTAATTATTACAAATACACATTCATTTTAAATGATATAATACTGAGTAGTTTACTCCGAAGCTTGCAATATAGCACAACTAAAATATTACAGATATTATTGATAAAATCTACTGAATTTGGTCATTGTAGGTAATGATTAATATTCAATTAACTAGTAATTTTGCATGATATTCTAATAGTTATAATTATTAAATAATTTGGGATCTTAGTGGCTAATAAGTTGAGTAGAGACGTGATTGAAAATTATTAGATCTATCGATTGACATGATTAGTACCTATAGCAATAATTATAGAAATACCAACTAGGGTAGGCTTTGTGAGAAGCCTGCTAAGTTATTCAATTTTATTCCATCCAAAAGTCGTAGATTCACACATTCATATATGACTAAAAACATGTACATAACTATTAAACATACCTAAATTTGATCAAATACTCTAAATAATGTCTTCAAAAGTGATCAATTTGTCACATTAACCAAACCGGTTTAGATGTTCTATAAAACGGCAAGCAAAAAAATACAAACTGTATTATAATATGTATGTACATTAAATTATTTATTATTATATTAGATTTATCATTGGTGATGTAATAATTGAGGGAATGTGCATAATTGTAGCGGGGAATAAGTAAAGTGATTGAATCAGATCAGAAGGGCGTGTTGGGCAGACGGCGATTGGGCGCAGAACGGCATGTCCGCGTTGTGATGTTGCTCAACACATAATTTCGGAACACTGCAACCGCAGCGAGCATTGACACCAATTTCTTGAACATTGAACAACTGCTTGAGATCGAGATACTTGTACATTACTAGTACTGGATATAAAACGTCTAAGTAGACGCAATTTTGACATTTCTAAAAACATATTTTAATCAAATCTTGTTAGGGGTCATAAGAGTAAATAGTTTTAACCAACAAGTGCTTTTCAATTTGGTTTCTACGATAAACAAAAAGTATTTTATTTTGTAATTATAAGTATCACTTATAAATGTTAACAGGATCGTAAGAAAATGAGCTTGAAACGTCAATAAACAAAAGACACCAAAACTTTTGAAAGAAGTAGGTAAATAATATGAGTGATGATTTGTGCATGTTCTCCATAAAAGTAGTTAGCTAGACCCGGATCGTATGGTACGAAGCAGCGTACTAGATGTGAGACGCGATGACCGGCGGGTCACTCGGCAGGAGGGCACAGAGTCACGGAGCACTCCCACCTACTCCGGCAATGTTGCGCGCGTACACAGACACTTTTATATTCTCGTCTAGATAACAATCTAAAACCTGAGCATGTATTACATTGTAGAATAGCTGTATCGATTCGCAAGTTCTCACAGGACGTTCTCACAGCTCTACGTTCGCAATCGCAGCTACATATTCGCGAAGCACTCAGTTATCCAATGCGCGCGCGCCGCTCGCACAATGCGCTCACGTACGCGTGTCGCGATTATCGGTCGTCGTAAATTACAAGTGATTAGCATAGAAGTCGTGTACACGGCGACGGTGCGACGTTATTAGATTCGGCTACAAGGCGACACTACGTCGTTATTAGGCGATAATTGTCACTGAAGTGTAGCGGTCGATTAACGGCAGGCCCGACCAGCCACGTCCATACTAAGTAGACGCATGCACTCCTCGCATACCACGGCTCGCGTACAACGATTCCCTTATGGCAATTATTATCTACAATTTGTTCAATTACTTTAATAACGTTAATTTACTGTTGACATACAGCACGTGTAACATACAGCATCTAAACCCAATAATGTTGAACGGATGAGCAGATAATAATAATCGAAAAAGGACGGGTATGTCCTCTCCACAAAAGTAGAAGCACAGTCTAGTGTAAGTAACTCGACGTGGCAGGGTTTGTGTGCCTCAAGGGAACGGGTAGGAAGATAGCAAATATTAGTTTCCTTCATGAGGTACTCGCGGTTCGTTGACCCGCGTAAATTTTGTGCCAGAGCCAGATACACATAAATATAAACTATCTAGACCGCTTCATCAAGATGTAACCGCACTTTTTGGTACCTATATAAGTTTATGTGTAATGTGTGTTATTCAAAAGTCAAAAATCATTTATTCCAATTAGACCTTTACAGGCACTTTTGTATTACAACATCACAAGTTTAATATTTACCAAGGTTTTAATCGGTGGTCAGTCGCATTGGCAAAATATGTAGCAATTAGGTATAGATTTTAATTTTCAGTATGTACTACTTTACATGGTAGCTTACATAAGATTGTTTTGAGGCACAGACATAAAGACATCTTATATCAGTGCAAGGATTGGAGCGAAAGCTGTTTTAATAGAATATGGGATCGTGCCTCCGTGCACGCATTCGTCGCTAACGTAGTCCGAATAATTTAGGTAAATCCGCTGGAGACGTCTCCGTCACCGTTACATTCCGCGTTGGCATTCCGCTCAGGTGCTTTTACGAATAATCTTATTTCCATGTTATTCCTAGATTTCGATTCGATCTACAAGCCGCATTTATAGGTTTTAGTGCATTTTTTCAATTAATTTCAGACAACGTTTCAGTATCCCGCGGCAAAGTAAAAATTTCCGAAATGTGTTCATGAGATTCATTTTACGACGAAAACTCACTTTTATTGTCACAAAGACTATCAGAACTCAAA